GCCCACTAACTAAGGAAGAATATTTTGAAGCTTGTATAAATAGGAATCCTACAGTCTTGTGCCTGTAGGTGGGGTCTTTGGGGTTAGCTTACAACCCACCAATTAAAATTTCCACAGATGAAGAGACTGCCTTTTGTGATGCCGTGTGCATGAGTGACGTTAGTAATAACAAGGACAATAATAAAAAAGGAAATGACCTTTCGAGAAAGCCCTCCACATGTGAAGCTTTCACTTGTAGCACATATGTCATTTCTAGTGAAAAAGCAGGCAGAGCAGTCACAATTCTCTGCAAATTCTAAAAGTCCTTGATTTAAAAGGGGAAAGGGAAAAAGTAGGCTCTAGTTTTAAGCCAAGGGCCATGTTTTTTTTTTCCCCTCTGGGAAAAAGAACAATCTCGAACTGCATGAATCACAGACACGTCTCACACTATTGAAATACAACAAGTGCCCTTGTACCTATCACCATGCTGATTAAAACTCAACATCTTTATTTTTACATGACCAAAACTGTAAACTACAGGGTGAATAAAAAGTCTTATTACACTATGAGCGCTACTGCTGTAAAACCTTTTCAGCAACAGAAGGCAAATTATGCTGCATCCCTTTTAATCATAGCTGGTCTTTCAGAGATGGTGCCACACTTTGTAAAACCAGCCATGATGAAACAGCCATAATATATATTATAAGGGATCGTGGTGAAGCCCCTCATGGTATCAGCTGTTATGAAGAAAACTGTTTTAGCTCCCGCATATAAGCCAAATGTCTTCTGATTGGCTGTTTTTCACAAACAAAAGGTTTGAACTACAGGTGGGTGCTCTGTGCTCACAGACGGAGCCGTGTGCCCTACATGACCTTCTCAGAAATATTTCTAATATATATGATTGACATCACAGAGAGTAACGAGCACAGCTTGGGGGCAGAGCACTCATTGGTCTGTTGGAATTACACATACGATAACCTCATTATTTAATATTTTAGGCCTGTTTTAATATGAGCATCTTTCACTGTAAAAGTATAAAGACGACAGAAAGTAAGGAAAAGGAGAACAGGTCTCCTTTAATAACACCTGTAATAGTAAAAAAATACAGAATAAATTCAATGTATATCAACCTGTAAGACAATCTAAACAAAATAAACAAGCATGAAAACTACTCAGACTGCTAGAATGACAATGAGATCAAATCAGGGTTCAAAACTTGAACCAACAATAATCAAAAAGTTCAAATGCGAGAATAACAGTAAAAGCTAAACAGGAACCCAAACTCAAATAAATTTACAAAGAATTGCAAAAATTACCGCAATCATGGTCCAATATCGGACCATGATACTAGGAGCTGGCTACTGAGATTTATTATATATTAGGTCTGCTACAAACAATTATTTTGATAGTCGACTAGTCACCGATTATTTTTGCGATTATT